TTTTGTTTGTTCAATTAACTGCAATGCATGTTTACCTTGCCATGTGATAAATGAGTTTTACTTGTGGAGCATGAAGCAATCATGTTTTGATGAGTATTGTTCTAACTTATATAGACCTCGAGATAATATGCAACATAACTGGTTAACATTTATTATTTTTTTTATGATGATCAATACATTTTAATATCAGAAATCATACTTCTAATTAGCATTTACACTTGCATTTACCATATAATCTGTCTTTGATCAGAATCTGAATTTTAGCCAGTATTTTTCCTACCATATTTTCTTTAAATATATTTAATCAAACAGGGACTTATGTTTTGCGATATGTGAGTGTGTGTGTTCATCTGTATGTCCATCCAAATTCATATCTCTGACCGATTTTTGTACATAGTTGATACAAAGTCGTAATGGGAAACATATGCATATTGATTTGTTTTTAGTTTCATTTTTGTCAAAAAACATGTCTGGGCTGATCTCATTCAAATATGATATAGACATCACATATATTTGTTTACTGATACAAGACACTTCGCGATGAGCGTTATTTGGGGTCAGTAATAGCACAGGGAGCCCAGGAACAAGACTTGTTATGAACCACATCAAGGTCACGACTCGGTTAGCCTTGCTCAACTGGTTCGTAACCAGTATTGTGATTGGTTGTTAACAAATGCTGAACAGGCCACGCCTCCAACTGTGTCGTGCGTTCGGACTAACCGTTAGGAATTCCTAAATGGAGTCAATTTGTGTAGTTTTCTTGATTTATTCTGCAGATATCGGTAAAATATAAGTAAGGCTTTGGCGAAATTCGAAGGAGCAACTAATATTCTTCAACCTGGTATTTTTTTTAGATTTTATTTTTTTCGTCTGTTTTTTCGAGTTTAAAAAATGTGAGCTGGCTGGAGCCTTCATCCCTTGTCTATTTCTTACACTAGACACCAGCCGATACCCCCCCCCCCCGCGCTCATAGAGAGTGCGTACAGTTGATCATAGTTAGTGGGCTTCCTGTGGTAATAGTTACGAACATTTTTTTCACTATTGGCGATTCGTTCTACTAGGATTGCCCTTAAAATAAATTTTGTGTGGCTTCGTGCCAAATATATCTCCTCCTACGAATTTAGGATAAAACACCTCAGAGATAGCTCATTCTACTCAGCTTGAGTGGGGGGGGGGGGGCAAAGTTACTATTTGAAATTTTGATATCTTTTTTCATTACCGACAAATTTGACACTTCTATGATTTTTTTGGCTTACCGTTTGGTTCAAACTTGGTAGGCAAGTCACACCTTCACTCTAGTTAGGTTGTAAAATCTGCAAACAAATTCTGGCCCATCGTTTCCATGGCAACAGCCAAAAAAAAAAAGATTTGTTTTAATACCTTCGCGCCAAATGTGTCTCACCCTACAATTCTAGGATTAAGTAGCTCATTTTACTCAGTCTGAGTGTGGGCATAAATTTAATGGTTGTTCTATTCTATTTTCATTCCAGAGAAACTTTACCTCAAAGTTGGGGTAACTTTTCACCAGTGGCTTTTAACTGCTCTGTGGGTTTTTTGACTTGGCTGAATTTGTTCATACTTGACAGGCAGGTCGTACCGTCACTAATTGAAAACAAAAATCTCACTCACCGCTGCCATAGCAACAGCCAAAAACTGATTTTTGAATACTTTCGCCCCAAATTTATTACCTCCTACCAGTCTTGTAATAGCAGTGTATATGATCATGTTTTTTTATTTTAGCTACGTTACACACTGGTAAGACATCATCGGCGCCAACATGATTGTTACACTGCATCAAAGAATCCCAACGCAACTTTGACCTATGAATGAACTGTAAATGCTGCCTTCAATCTAGAAAATACTATCGCAAAACGGTTGGAAATAATAAATTTAACAGCAGAATATGTCCTAGCAATAAAATAAAGTGACTTCTAAAGACTGAATGTTTTTTCTCAACTATGCATAATCATTCGAGATAAATCTGAAGCATCCTGTTTGATATTTCAACTAAATCGAGAAAGACAGGTAAGACAATACATAATTGTGTATAAATGATTATGCATAGTTGAGAATTTCAAACTCTGGCAGCAAAGAAAGGAAATGCAGTCCTGGCGTTTGAGGGCGCTAACGCATGCGCAGATTGACACAACTTGAAGGCTGGTATCACAGAGAATAGAAATTGTCAAATTTCGTCATAAATGCGTAAAATCTGGAAAGAATATATGATTTACATGTAATCGGACAACATTTTGCGATAGTTCAATGTCTTCTAAGCACTCGTAACTAGTTTGGACAAGATATTTTGTATTTTGAGGTATGATTTTCGGCAGCTGAAAAAATGTGTGCATATTTTGTTTCCTCCCTTGTCTTATATATAGTGCAAGCTGATCGGCCGGAAACAAGTATTAGTGATTTTTGTGGTTTCGGAGCGTGATGATTAAATTTAATAACATATGCTTGCTTTACATTACTAAACTGTTTTAATTCCATAATTTCTATTACTAGTATTTTGATCAAGGGTAAAGTCCTGTACCGGGACATAGTCGCACGGCCCCATAGACGTCTGTTAGGAGTTCAAAGGACCCTTACGTTCAAAAGTCTCCCCTGTATATTTTTTATTTCTTAATTACTCACTAATTTATGACTCTTACATTCATATTTTAGCAGAAAGTTGTTTAACTTTATATTATCAACAGATATTGTTGGCGTTTCCTTATTTTTGCGAGACTCTATTTATTATTAATAACTCTTTTTCGTCGGAAACTCCGTTCTACTTCAAACGTGCGAAAAAAACCCGTCGATAAATGACTACTAGCCTGAGGAGTATGAAAATGGCATCATGGGAAAACTTTAAATTTGTCTACCGGAAATCAATGGCCGTTCTGTTGCTGTTGAACCGTCCCGCGAATCTTCCACATAGATTGCTATTTTACATCACTGCGACTAAAAGGTGGGTAGTTATTGCATTAAATTTGTTAACAAATATGTACAAATACTAAATAATGGGAGGTAGGTGTTTCATGATTGTAATCGCTTCGTGGACAGTTGACGCTGGTTCCAGTGCCAGAGACAGAGTGCTCGTTTACTCGTGCAGTGATGTGATGGTGTGAGCTGCAGTCCGGGTGCTATGAATTGGGAGATACAATGTAATCAGCAATCATAGCTAGCATATAAATTGTTCATGTTGCTTCTAAAATATGCCCGACAAACAGCTCGTCGCAGTTTAGTCGGTCGCCACTTATCCTGATCATGGAGGTAAAAAACATCCGTGTCCTGATAGACAATCTGCATGGTGCTGTCTCCAGTGTTTTTGTAATTTTGGTAATGTGTTTTGAGAAATCTGATTTTTTTAAAATATGCCTGTGCGTCGTACAGCTCTGAACACGAAAATTAAAAGCAGACTGGCAACGCAAGCCCCATCAAGTCATTCCATGTGCAGTGTTCTCCCCAGGCTCAGA